GTAACTCATGCAGCTGAGGTTAAGATCTTTAAAAAGCTGATTTTGCATTTATATCTGGAGGAAAGTTGGGTGGACTTTGAAGTTTAAGCAAACACTCTAAAAGAGCTCTGAAGAGAGAAGTGCTTATTTTACCAGTGTGAATATACCTGCAGTTTGTGTGTCTGTACTCACATTAGAGGCAAATTTGGTTTATGAAAATTAAATATCGTGAATATGTTGTGTTTTCATTTTTTCCTTAGGATCAACTCTTCCACCCTTTTGAGCACTTAAGGCAGCTAATGAAAGTCAGTAATTCTGTATACAGGAAGGAAAGGTTCAAAAAGATAACAATTATCTGTTAGAGTGAGATTTAGAAACCAGTGTCTAGAGGATGTTTGCATTTTAATTCACTCTGAATTGTTGAATTTTTAACTTTTGGACTAAAAATAAGGAAAAAGAAGATAATCACTGAGGGGATGTTGAACTGCTTAGAACTTTTAAATAATTCTCCTAAATAATCAGTGGGTTGCAAAAGGAAATAAAAATATAGTACGCTATTTAGAAAGCAGGAACATGGCTGGACACCATAGGATTCATCTGCAATCCCACCTACTCAGGAGGCTGAGACAGGAGGATCTCAAGGTCAAGGCCTACCTGGGCAATTTAGCAAGACCTTGTCTCAAAAGAAGAAATGAAAAAGGTTGGGGGGGGGCAGAGGGGGGCAGCTGAGGTTGTGTCTCCATGGTAGAGTGCTCTAACCTGGGCCAGGTTCCACACACACACAAAAAATACCAATAATAAAATAATAAAGGTATTAAAAAGGGGCTGGGAATGTGGCTCAAGCAGTAGTGCGCTCGCCTGGCATGCATGCAGCCCGGGTTCGATCCTCAGCACCACATACCAACAAAGATGTTGTGTTCACCAAAAACTAAAAAATAAATATTCTCTCTCTCTCCCTCTCTCTCCCTCTCTCTCTCTAAAAAAAAAAAAAAGATATTAAAAAAATACTTGAAAAAAAAAAAAAAAGAAACAAAAGGACTGAGAATGTAGCTCAGTAGTAGATTACCCATGGGTTCAATCCCTAATACAAAAAGCAAGAAAAGGAAAACATCCTATTAGAACATTTAGAACATACTAAGAGGTAAATGTATATTCTCAAATATTTTCATTAAAGAGTGAAAGTAAAGGAACTATTGCCATGTAGTGGATAGAATTACGTACCCCAAAAAGATATGTTCAAGTTCTTACTCCTGGTACTATGACTGTGATCTTATTTGGAAATGGAGTCCTCATAGATGAGATCAGACTGGATTAGGGTTGGGCTCCAATCCAGTGACCAGAGTTCTTACAAGGACAAACACTTGGGGGCTGGAAATGTAGCCTAGTGGCCCTGGGTTTGAACCCCTGGCCTCACTTTCCCTTTTTCATTCCTAATCTTGTTTTCTTGTACCTTCACTTATTTTTCTTTAAAAGAACTGAAATTGCTAGGTGCAGTGTTACACACACATAGTCCCAGCTAGTAAGAGGACTGATGTGAAAGGGGCACTTGATCCCAAGAGTTTAAGACCAGCCTGCGCAACATAGTGAGACCCTATCTCATAAAACAAACAAATAAACAAAAAAGAATTGGAATTGGCAGATGCTTTTGTATTTGCCCATATAATTAATCTTTTCAAATAACCAATTTTAGGCCTTTCTTTCTTTGTTTTTTATTTCACTAATCTCTCTCTCTTTGGGTTGGGGGGCGGTGCTGGGGATTGAACCATGGCAAGCACATAGTCTGCACCCCCAAACCCCTGCTCTTATCTACATTATTCCACTCCTGACGTATTTGATGAGCATATTTAGTTATTCTACTATAACTTCTTAAGTTGAAATCCCTACCTCATTAATTTTTGGCCCTTCTTCTTTATTAATAAAAGCAAAAAGACTCTATTTCCTCTTACTATTGTTTTAACTGCGATCCACAGGTTTTGATACACAATCTTATTTTTGTTATCATTTATAATTTCTGTAGTGGTTTTTTTCCCTTAAACCTAGAATTGTTTAGAAAAGTTTTAAAACTTCCAAATATATAAAGGTGCTATATTTATCTTTTTGTTACTGAACTCTAAATAAGTTAGTGACTCTCAACCTTGACCATTTATCAGAATCACCTTGTTAAAATACAGATTTCTGGGGCCTACTTCCAGAGTTTCCATTCAGCATGACAATACACACTAGTAACAAATGGCCACTTTATTTTTTTATTTTTTTTAAAGAGAGAGAGAGAGAGAGAGAGAGAGAGAGAGAGAGAGAATTTTTTAATATTTATTTTTTAGTTTTCAGCGGACACAACATCTTTGTTTTGTATGTGGTGCTGAGGATCGAACCCGGGCCGTACGCATGTCAGGTGAGCGCGCTACTGCTTGAGCCACATCCCCAGCCCTGGCCACTTTAATTTAAATAAGTTTTAAAATGCAATTTCTTTGTCATATTGTCCACATTTAAAGTCCTTATAGCCACATGCAGCTATTGGTCACTGAATTGGATAACATGGATATAAAACATTGCAGCAGCTTACGTGAAATTGTATTGGTATAGTTGAAAACGCCTAGGAGATACAATCAAATATTTCCAAGGTTTTATTTTTATTTTTTATGGTGCTAGGGATCGAACCCAGGGCCTTGTGCATGTGAGGCAAGCACTCTATCAACTGAGCCATATCCCCAACCCTCTAAGGTCTTAATAAAGGGTCTTACTGACTTGCTGTTGACCCCTGTGGTCTAGGAATCTATATTGGCAATAGGTGCCTTGGGGAAATCTGCTGAGCTAGGTCCATAGACTTGTCTTTGGGAGCCAGGAGCTCATGCCTCATCCTGTAGGTCTGTTTGGTCTTGGCCACTTGACTGATTTCCTCAACTCATATTCCTTCTGCCCACCTCCTAATAGCAGCCAGACCTTATGGAAGGCAAAGAAGACTTGGACACACCCCTGCTTCAAACCCATCACAGGCCCCTCACTGGTCTCAGGATAAAGTCAAAATCTTTTCTCAGCCTTACAGGTGGCCAGAACCCAGCCCTGGTCATTCTGGGTAGCAAATGGTGGTTTGCTTATTGACCCTCTCCTCTAGCCTTTGATTCCTGAGGGCAAGCAGGGCTGTCCCTGCTGGGCACAGACAAGGGTTGGGGCAGCATGTGTAGAATGGATGTCCACGTGGTGGCGCTGCGGGGCTGTTCATCAGGCAGCCTGGACTTGTCTGGGTCCCAGCAGACTGAGCTGGGCCAGGGACTGTGCCAGACTTTGCTGGGCCTACAGGGAGCAAAGAAGGGAAGCAGAACTCAGCTCCAAATGTGAAAGTATCATCTCCTTTTAACAACCTGAGAAGATTCTTTAGCACTTTAGGAAGGAGGAGGGGTGAGAAAAAGAGAGGAGAAGGAAACCTTATGGCTGACTGACCTACCAACATAGAGAAGAGCACAGAGTTCTATGGCAGTGAAGTTGGAAGGGACAGCAGTGGGAGCAGATGGTGCCATCCTGGCCTCTTCCCAAGCATAATTATAATTGTCCCTGGCTTTTGATGATGATGTGGACCCTCTGCTACTAGCTATGCTGCTGCCCGTGCAAGGTTCCCTCTGTCCCAGTGACTCAAGCTCAGAGCCTCCAGCAGTGCTCCATTTCCTGCCAAGTCAAAGGCTTTGTCCCCCAGGTGGTGGCCCCGTCGTCACTGTGGCTGTGCCTAAGCTGTAGCTCTTCACCAGCGAGGTGGACATAAGAACCTGTTTTGTGAGCCAGCAGAGTCCGGGAAATCTACCTGATGAACCTCAGCAGCTGAGGAGCTACTGGGCTGTATATACTGATGGCCAACTTGCTCACTGCTTCTTGTGGAGTTGAGATCAAATCAACTTCTAAAACCATGTGCCCAATCTGTGAAGGCTGGCACACTAGGGCTACTGCCACCCAGTTGCCTTGCCTGGTGGTGTTGGTAAGACCAAAGGTGACTCCTGAGAGGATGGGCTGACCTGGAGCAAGGGAAGGCTACCAGCATAACAGATGAAGCTGCCTGAGCCCACGTGTGTCTTCCATTCCTATTGATGCAGGATGGCAGAGTGCCACCCAGAAGGCTGAGGCCTTTGGGGTCTCCCCAAGCAAGTGGGTTTCTGGAGGCATGACCTACCAATGTGACTCCAAGATCCATCACCTTGCAGGTGTTCTTCACTCCTAGGCACAGCTCCTTCCCCTCTCCCTGGCACAGGGCTGGGGGCCCCTGCCCAGAGCTCTAAAAACCTCAGCCTCACCCCTCCCACAGGAGCAATGAGCTGTTTGAGTCCACCCTGGTAGTCGAAGTTATGCTGGGTGGGGGATTCTGCACCCTAAGGCTCCAGGGCCAGGTTCTTACGATGAAAGTTTCCTGAACCAGCATTGAGGTTCATCCCACCCCCAACCCCAGTCCCAGCTGAGTGAACAAAATGGCACAAGCTGAGGAGCAGGTGTGCTGGTCAGGACATGGACTGGGGGATACTAAGAAGCTCCTGGGATGAAGAAGCCCCCTCAGGGAAATCATGGATTAGGCCCTGCATTGTAAGTCCCCAGAGCTAACACAAAGGATAGGCCACACCGATGTGGAGGCTATGGCAGTTCAGACTCACTACTCAGATGGAGCGCACAGAAGTCCAACAAGGAAAACAACCACCCTTGGAAAAATCCACAGCCACCAAGATGAGATAACACATGTTGATTATGTCCATTGTACCCTCATTCATGAGGCCACACTTCCCTAGGATTTACATGGGGGCCTTGTGGCCTGATGACTCACACTGACTTTGTCTGGCCCAGCTAGAGGGGGCCTGGTGGTATGGCCCAATACCCCACTCACTCCTGTAGTGTGTCATCCATGTACACAGTTTCCAACTTAGTTGAAGTGCCTTGATTTGTCCCCATCACCACCACCAGTGCCTAATTTCTCACGTGGATTCGCTTCCCAAGAGTTACTCTCTGGCTGCCAGAACAGGGCCGTCTGGGTAGTGCCTTGAGCCAGGGACTCAGTTACCAGGGTATTCAAAGACAGCAGCAGCTCCCATCCCAGTGCCAACGCACATGGACACCACTCCATATGCCCTGGAAAAGGGAACTACTGTGGCTGGGCACAGGCACTCTGGGCAGAGGCCCAACAAACAAATCCCCTGACCAAGGCCATCCTGAACAGAGGATACAAAACCAGAAGACCAGATCTGTGGGAAATCTGTCTCTTGACTGCCCATCTAGGCACACACTCAGTGGCAGATGCCCTCTGTAAGCCAAAGGCCCTTTTGAGGCTGACCTTCAGGGACAACAGGGATCATGTCCCTATATGCCCAGTTCAAAGTGCATGTTGAACTCCCAAACCCCCACCCTTTGAAGCCCCAGCTCAGCATTCCCCATGACACTCCACAACACCCCATGGGGAGCAGCCTCACCTCTTTCCACAGTGCTTCAGCTCGTTGAGCATGAGATGACCTGTTGTGCCCCAGTGAGGCCCAGGGCCACCGCTCCTCCCAGAGGGTTCATCTTCTCAGGGGGGATTCCTAGCTTCTCCACACAGTAGACAGCCTGGAAGGAGCCAGAGCAGTGCCTGGCCACGCTGGCCCCCTCCCCTGCATGGCTTGTCCACTGGCTCCCACTGGGTGCCCAGGGCCCAGTCTATGGTGAATCTAAGACTCCCTGGCTTACAATGGCCTCATTGATCTCAAAGATGTCCATGTCATTTACTGTCAGCCCTGAAGGCGAGGTTCAGACCTGAGCTGACAGAGACCCCTGGGTGGGGAGGCATCCGGGTATTCCCAGACCTCTACCCATATACAGGCCCACAATTGCTTAGTGTGTCTGTTATTTCAGAAGTGAATGGGTCACAGCTATGGGTTAGGAAGACCTTGGGTATGGAGTTCTAGCCCCACCTTCACTCTGCAGCACCCTGAGGACCATTCGTAGTACCTCAAGCAGGGCTTGAGGGAACCCAGGTCTAAGGTCTGAAGGAGCCACCTGACCTGCTTTCTCCAAGGCTGCAGGGATGGCATATGCAGGTCCAATGCCCATGACATCAGGTGAGACCCCAACCACTGCACAGGACCTCAGGACCCCAAGGATGGGGAGGCCCAACTCTTCTGCCTTGGACCTCCAGGCCAGCAGAACAGCAGCTGCCCCACTGCTAGTGTTTGCTAGGGAGGAAGTATTGGAGGTGAGGAGCATCAGGGCAGAGCAGAGGAGAACCTGCCCTCCCATGGGCTCCTGCCGAGGACCCGGTTGGCTCTTGGATCCCAGAGCAGAAGAGCCAGGCGGTGGCAGTCACTGGTGATAGCTGTGTTTCAGTCCTGGTCCCGGACCTGCTCTGGCTCATGCTCACAAGCCGTGGTGGAGCCGCAATCCTTGAAAGCAGGCTTCAGTTTGGCCAGGCCCTCCATGGTGGTGTTGGGGCAGATTCCCTCAACCTGGGACACAGTGATGCTCTTCTTGATGCCCTTGTCATCGTGGATGGTGGTGGTCACAGGCACAATCTCAGCGTGGAAACAACCTTTTCTCTGGACTCTTGCTGCGCTGCCCACAGCAGACAGCCAGGCTCAGGCTCCCCTGGAGCGCCCTTCCTCCTGTCCCCACTCTGGCCCATTGTGGCAGACATGCAACCTCAGCCTGCTAAATTCGGGGACATGTCTGGTCCTGGAGGACATTGGAGGGCTCAGCTGGAGGTCCTGAGGAAACCCTGTTCTTGGGAGGGGGAGGCTCGCCTAGGGTCATCCAGAGCCTCCTTTGCTATCAACTCCAGGTGTCCACATCATGGTTAATTCCAAGCTCAATGGGGAGAAGGGAGCTTGCAGGTAGTTTTTGTTTCTTAGAGCACTCAGATACTCAACATCAACAGTCAAGTAGGGGACAGTGAAGGGCCACCAGTTCAGAATGGTACTGCCCCCTTTCTGTTCCCCAGCTGGGAGGTTTGAGGTTTGCAAAACCCTGATACACAGCTTTACCCTTGGGACAAGTCCACCTCAGACCTCAGACCACTCAGGTTGGCCTCACAGTCTCACCTTCTAGCTCTTTCAAGGTCTCACTCACTTCTGCCATGAGGCCAGCACAAAGGTATCTTGCTTCTCCCTTGAAACACCAAACCGCTTAACCACGTTCTCTGAGGTAATCCTAGAACACAAACAGCACACTGGTTCAGCATTGGTCTGGGAGCCTGGGGGCCAAGGCCAGGCTATAACACTGTGTTTTTACACTGGGCCCATGGGACTAAAGGTGGGGAGGGCTGGTCCATGCCACAGAGACAATAGTGAGCACTCTAGAGGTGGCACGCCTTTCCCCAGCCTTGGCATGGAATAGACAGGGAGTCACCCTGCTGGCCAGACTCTCTTCCAAGTGGGAGGGTAGGCTGCATACAGGGCAGAGCAGAAGAGAGCCTGTTCCCTGGTGAGTTGCCTCAGCTGAAGAAGAGAGTCAAGGGGTTTGTTGGGGGCCCTAATGGCTCCCTATGGCCAGCTTCTACTAAGGTCTCCAGGTTGCCCATGGAGGTACTATATGTGGACAATTCCAAGATACAATCCAAGCCTCAACCTCCTCGTACATCCATGGGAACCAGGCCTCCCTGCCCACAGGCCTGGCAGATGGCCCCAGCTCAGTGGCACTGGCTGCTGACCAAGGTGCTGGACTGATGCAGCACACATCACAGGTTGCATGTGACAGGCCCCAAGGTCCCTCACCAGCATGTTCAGGGATCAGAAGCTCCCCACAGTCAACATTCTAGGATCCCATGGTTTCAGGAGATGGGCTGTCATTGTCCTACTCGTGATTAAGCACTCAGAGGGGGTATGACAAAATGGGCTATATGTGGAAACTCAGAGAAGACTCAGGGGCCTCAGGGACAGGAAATTATGGCAACTTTGAATTCTATGCTCATAGTCCCTGCAGAGCAGATGTCATCCAAAGGAGAGAGGAAGAGGGTTGGCATTGCCAGAGATGAGGAGGAGCTGAGGATGGGCACCTACCGCACGGGGATCAGGCAGTCTCTGGTGCTGAGAGCCACAGCCGAGTCTGTATGGCCCCTGGCATTTTGCCAACAGTATTGATTGACAGGCAAGGCGTTAATATCCGCCTCTGCCGCTACTTTTGAGTTCTAGCGCTAATTTTGAGTTCTCGCGCTATTTTTAGTTCTCACGGGGATTCCCCGGGAGTTCCCATTGGTTGGCGAAGGGCAGGAGGAGGGTTTTCCCGGGGAGATATTTCCGGCTGGGGGTTCC